AGATCGCTCGAAAGCGATAAGGCCACCAGTTGCCCTCATTTGCATTTAATTATGTCAATTGTATTATATTTCTGCAACGAAAGGTTAATAAATATACGAAAAAGGGTCGTGTTTGGTGCCTTGTGATAAAATTACTTTACGCTAGTACAACCACAACAATTATTGTTCGTAACGATATGTTATACGAGTACAGCCGTCGTGGATACAGCCAACATTTTCTGACATTCGCGCTCAAGCAAATAAATCAACACTGCAAGTACAGATTAATGACGTTTATTAAGTAGTGTAGTAGCTAAAACTAACGCTAAGATCTTAGTGCTCTGGGACTCGTGGTAGTTGTCATATTAAATAATATAGTTGCTTACAAGTGAGATACTTATGAGAGCTTTCTATTACGATATTATAGGAATGCACATCTCGTATCAGTGCTTCGTTCTATGTGTACCCTCTGTAAATATAAATTTTAATATAGATATGTTTTGATGTAAAATATCTGCGTACAAAGTATGTTTTCACATTCGTATTAAGTAGCTTATAACTTATGCCAAATACGACTTGTAGAATCAAAAGATGTATGAGTCAGGATTCGTACTTCTTGTACTCGTTTGATAATCAAAAATGTTTAGTATAAAAGTTTAGAATTTATCACTCAAAACTTTAGTGACTATAGGGAGATTAGACGTTGACATTAATAAAAACTACTAGCTATATCGCGATCACTTTTTATCAAGATTTCTTCAGGTCATGCATCTTTAACAGCACGTCGTCTGAAAAGAACAGCCACTAAATAAAAGTTTTCAAAATATCCTTAACATCCTCCTTTACATTACACGTATCACGAAAAATAAAGACAGTGAAGTTTGCTAATTATCCAATTATTCTGTTGAGTGTTGCAACGCTGACTCAGGGCGTCGGCGCAGCCACGCGGAACAATATAATGACTAGCAGACAACGCTTATTGACTTGCATTTTATTCAATCATTGCTTTGTACTGTTTTACTATAAGGGTCTTTATGAATGCTCGACTTGTCTTTGATACGTTCAAAGGTTTGGAAATTGATATTTTTCCAAACGTCGTTCATATCGAATTGTTTCGTCTGTGATATCAATTGTGGTACTTCTTTGCGTTTGAAATAACGTAATATTTTCTCGTATAAGATTAGAGCTACAAATTTACGAGTATTTGATAGTCCTTAGTAATATTTATTGCATATTCATTATTATTAAAAGTAATTTATTATGTCGGAACAATGGCAGCTATTACCAGCGCCATTACTCTAACCTATAAATAGGTTTTCTACTATATACTGTACCAGTCAAGGCGAAAACATATGTTCTGCCCTGAAACAGGCAAGTAACTATTGTCTTAATATATACGACACAAATTATGCTTGACTATATTTATAATGATAAAGGTAAATTATATAGACACTTGGCCTATAATAACGAAGAAAACAAAGGGTACTCGAGGTTTAACGACAAATTAGACATATTTAATGCTATGTTTGACGATTACGTCTACCTACGTAAGTAGAGCGTGTTTTTCGATCAAATAGTTTACCGTATAAGAGCACTAGATAGTAGAAGGTTTGTCGATAGCGCAATCTCATTGATTGCTGATAGGATTATGCAAATGAACTCGGCTACTTATCGCCCACCAGCAAAGACTGACGGCTTTGTTCTAAGCTTCTTTGAGATAGTTCTTATTACTTAAAATCCACGAATAGGTATCAAAAACCTAATTCTACGATGACTTAAAAGAATTCACGTTTTAGTGTCTGTTTGTACCTTTCAGAAATAGTCTAGTAGCAATTTTTTGTGGATGTATGGTCCGCATATTAGACAAGTATATCTAGTAATAGATTGTCTTAATCTATTTTGGTTTAGTATTTTTAGAATTAACTGTTAAATATTTTAACTGTTAAATGGTGATATTCCTTAATAATAGTGTAGCAGACATTTTCTGTGTCTATTTTTTATATAAGCGATAAGGCAAGCAGTGCATAACTAGAAATAATTATTTATTTATTTATATTTTATTACCTTCTACAAAAACATACATATAAAAAAAATAAAAACAACAGGTTACAAAAGTTATAAGGCAATGGGTGGCCTTATCGCTAACGAGCGATTTCTTCCAGGCAACCCTAATGTGGAACAATAAAAAAGAAACACCTACAGAGGGTAGGGTACAAGAAGTGCATAAATAATTAACAAAAAAGAAAACTCAAAATAACACGCAACTATAACTAAAATAAAATAAAATCTAAAGAAAAAATAACAATAATAATAAATAAAAATATGTATAAACAAATTATTGTTACTTCCAAAATGGAACCTAAGATCTATTGTACCTACAGAGGTGGCGAATGAATAATTATTTTAACATAGTTTTTCTAATTCTCTTATATAAAACGATATGAGCATGAGCAATGGGGCTAAATGAGCCATGACCGTACATTTTGCTCTCCCAGATTTCCTAAGTATTATAGTGGCGATCACCTAAATAAGCGGGTTCTGGGTCAGGAGTTATTTTCACTTACGTACATACGAGTATACGTCTGAGAGTATGATGTATTTGTTTTAATCTTTCATTTGTTTTATACGTGTTTGCTGGATGTTCTCGGGATGTAACTCCGACGATTGAGGTTATCGCCACACTTATAAAATGAATAAAACCCGAGTAAAATAAATAGCCTTGGCTTATACTGGCCATGAACACTTTCACTAAAATAAAGCTCGTTGCTGGTCTGTCGTCTCCAACTATCTGAAATTGTATTTATTCATAACGACATAGATGACGGGTTCCACATCGAATAAATTACCTTAGAATGTCACCGGTACTACATATTAAACCACTAGCAGACCGGCCAAGCGTTGCTCTGGCTAAGATTTTTGTTATATTACATAGTAGTAAACTATTCAAGGGAAACGGTAGGAGAACTTATGTGAAAGGTAGATGACAGCTTATGTGAAACGTTGATAATTTTAACACAGATGGCGGTTAGAATTGTATCAAATAATAAACAAATATTTTGCAATAAATTAAAATTGCGACTAATTTGAGATTTAAACTATCCTATCTCTCAAGTTGGATCGAACTGCACATGGTGTGCAAATTTGATTGATATCGGTTCGGTAGTTTAGGAGTTCATTGAGGACAAACATTGTGACACGAGATTTATATATATTAAGATTAATTAACAACACTACAATAAAACTTCAAGTAGAGACAGTACCGTGACAAGCCGGTAACCTAGATTCGCGGTGTCAGGGAGAAACTGTGAGACAGCAAACACCGCAAATTGCTTTAGTGGCGGTAAAATTCTCATGACTTTGAAATTAGTCTTCCATCGAGTGCACTTAAGTATTTATTTCGGCGACGGCGTTATTTTTAGATTTGTACTTACCGTAGCAGTACATTTTCTAAGAGAAATTTCTATTGTTCTAGGATCTGAACGTACAGTAAATTTTAAGTTCATTATTTTTGAAGTGAAACTTCTTTAGGCGCATGAGGGTAAAATTTTTACGGATGAAACGCAATAATAATAATATAAGCGTCACGAAGATGTGCAGCGATTTTGTTGAAGTAAAGCGAGAGAGCGATTGAGAGAGAGTGAGAAGGGCGAATTACCTTATAGAAATTCTATTTTTAAATTAAAATTTCATTAAAAAAAAAATTACTGAAATCTCAAATGACATTGTAAATTAAAATGCCACGTGTTTTTTTTATAGAAGAAATAAATTAAAAAAATTTAATTTACAACTTGTATTAACTTTCGACACTTTTAATATTTTAATGACAATTAAATTTCTAACATAATTATCTTCCTTTCCTCTAAAGTTTTAGATTTGTATAATTATGAACAATACTTAAAAATAAAAGCCAAAGAAGTTGTACGCACGTACTTTTTTTATTTTTTATAATGCCAAAGCTTATAAAAACATAAAATAAAAGAAAACCAAGCAACATAATTTTACATCACTCAAAACTCGCATGGAAGCGTTGCTAAACCAACATACATTGCCTCTGTGTTTCAAAATGTCTCGCTCCAATCCAAATCCATTGTGAACTCATTTCCTTAAACATAAACAACAAGCAATTAATCATAAGATAATGCCGTTTGTGCCACGACAAACGAAAATCCCGGCAATTAAACTCCAATCTAAACGAATGCTAGGCAGTTGAAAAACAACAAGTACCAGAAGGATTTCCCGCCAGTCGGCACGTCATCGTTTACGATCAGATAACTTTCAGCGCGGAGTTTTTCAATGAATTCTAAATGCGGGTCTGTTTATATACTGTCCTTGTCTAACACTAGCGAAAGTGATCTACCCGTCTCGCATCGCTTTAGATAGATCTGATAATACTGTTTCCAGTGGAGTGTTAGAAAAACACCGTTTTAGTTGCAAAGCTTTTATTGAGTAATTCGACAAAAATAATATTTACTCTGATAAATCTTAAGTACTATTGGAGTGGATTGGGCTGGACAAATATATGAACAGGGATGGTGTAAGGGCTACGATACGATTTAATATTACTAAAGGTACTTAAAATAATGACGATGTAAGATTCAGTTATGTAATAGATCAGGCATATGTAACTTTTAGTTACTCTGTCTTCTGTTTATAGATATTACCGTATATTAGATATAACCGACAAATGTTTGTATAATCTAGTAAATTCAGAATATTCTAGTTTTTCTTTTTTAATGTATCCGGCTCTTAAAGGTATTGTATCTATTCAAAAATAGGCAGTAATGAAATCGGTAGTTACAACCGAATATTCCAAATTTAAAAATATATTAGCAATTAAAACAAAAGCAACAGATAATAATATTTTTGAAACACGATAGTCGTAATAACGTTTTTCCAATTAGATAGTTAGAAACAGATTTAAAATGGAATAAAAAGAATTTTACAGATTTTAAATTATTTTGGAGTTTATAATATTATCTAGCACTACATATTATTCTTAGCATATATTTGACTATGTTCAGGTCACCACATCATTGGTGGCAGTCGTGGTGACATGTTGCTCATACGTAATGCAAGACCTGAAGATAGCAGTTCTTACTCTTGTGAGGCGCAGCATCAGCTCACGGGAGAGAAGAGGCGAAGTCCACCAGCTATGACTGCTGTTTCACGTAAGTCTATACGAATTTAATCGGAAGAAATATGATTTATCTCTGTCAAAGATTATAATTATTCTTATAATTTGATTTAAGATTATGTTTATTTAATTTATTACGTTAATTAAATACATTTATTCCTGTTTCAATTTATAAGAGACTTATCAATATAATTTTCTTAAAATTATATATAATAATTTATGGCAATATCTCATGAGAAATCTTTTGAAATTTATGTATTAAAACAAAAAATACTATATTGTCTGATAAAAGTATTTTATATTTATTAATTAAACAACGTTTGCTTAAGATGGATCTGGTAGTATGGCTCCACGAATACTAACAATATCAGAAGACGAGACGGTGCCGCAGGGCGGCGATATCAGATTAGTGTGTTGCGCTATTGGCAGTCCAACACCCACCTATAGGTAAGACATAATGCTTAGAATTCATAGGGACCGTCCACACTTGAACAAAAAAAAGTGAATCGTTTCTTCATGAAGTTAGTGGACTCTTATAACGGCCTTTACACATTTAAAATAAAACGTGTTTTACGGATATAAACGCAAATTCTTTGGTTTGAGTTTGGTCGGAGACAAACTGAAATATCAATATCGCGACAATAGATGGCGTTAATAAATATTTCAATAAACCCTAACCTTAACATTCAGAATCGACACTTGATGCTTATTATGACTCCCGTATCTCAAACCCTGTTTTTAACATAAGAATGTCATAGCAAAGTCGTGAACCTCAAGTGTCAATGTGTCCTTTTAATAATATTGTTTCTAGCTAAACTTTAAAATGTTTATATATTTATATGTACTCGTATATATATGTCTACACACGCGAAAACCAGAGGCAATATAGTAATATAGTAATATAGTTAATCTAGTAAGATTAACTATTAATATTTCTACAACAATACTTAATTAAGTCAAAATATGTAATGCTACTACAAAAAGGATTGTAACTCATTCAAATCTTTTCTTTCATAGTTGGTTCCGTCACAGCAACGGCAGATTGAGTCCAGTATCCAACAACATAAGAATATCTGTGTCAGAACAAGTCCTGATCATCAGACGCGCACAGGTGTCTGATGGTGGAGTATGGTCTTGTCGTGCGCATAACCAATATGGGGAACAGCGACGAGATACAACTCTGCGGATACGAGCACGTCTTGTGGTTACTGTACATCCACAGTTACAGGTGAGCTTTTTTTAAGAACTTAACAAAAGAAAATCATATTCAATATGGAATATGTTAACTGTAATGTCTTGTCAATTTCATGTTCTTGTATTTTTCTCACACCAATAAAGTCGATTTAAATTCTTGACAGAGCCGTGTAATGCTTGATAAGTGTGGGTCTTATGTGAAAAATATGAGCCATATGGAATAAATAACTTAAACCTTTTTGTTTGTTATTTCAAAATTGGAAGCATGTGTAAACATATTATATAGTTATACTAGCTGACACGACAAACGTTGTTTTGCCATGTGTATATTATTTCTAAGAAACATTGTTTTAGTACAATAAAAATAACTATCTACTATAATAAAAAATAGGGGCGGATAGTAGAGGGGTAAAAATTATGGGTTGTATGTATTTTTGTATGCTGTATCATATAGAAATAAAAACAATTTTTTTTTTGGGTGGACACCTCTTATCACTTAGGGGTTGAAAGATAGATAGTAGCCGATTGTCAGACTTTCTGAAAATCGATATATAATAAAAAAAATCATAAGAATCAGTCGCGCCGTTTCGGAGGAGTATGGGAACGAACATAGTGACACGAGAATTTTATATATAAGATAGATTACTTATGCTAAGTATATAAAGTGTGTATTTATATGCATTTAACGTCCGTTGTGATAAAAACATTATAACTTGTTATTATAACCTTCATTTCTTTTTCCTTACTTTATAAGAAATTTCAATGCTTATCAATATAGAAAAGTCAGCAAAAGCTAAATATTATGATAAAATATCGAGAACATTTTCCAATAAGATTGATATAGTATTCCGTGACACTTGCTTACATTCCCAGCTCCCGGGATGTCGGGAAATTGAAAAATAAGCATTCACCACAGTCGTGTAATGCGACGATAACGGAGACGCGATACGAATACTCAAAGTATTTGTAGGTAATATAAGGTACACTGGGTTCTGTAAGAAATAAAATTGATTAACGCTTTAAACAAATAATAAAATATTTTATTTAATAAAAAACAAAGCATATTTAATCTGTGGCGTAGTAGCCAGTTCTTCTTCAGTGGAGCTATGCTATGATGGGCTACGAGAAGGAATTTAAAAACGAAGCCGATGAAAACGCACCAAATTGACTTTTAACGTCAGAATATGCAATGTAAGTGTGGCCGACGGACCGCATGTTGCAGTCGATACCGACTACTCTAAGCGGTCGCCGCACGGCGATCTGCAGTTTCCATACTAAATTCATATCCGCAATACACGGACCGCACGACCAGTTTCTGAGCGGTCGGAGCAGCCGCTCTGCGGTCGAGTTTCGCCGTGCGGTCGACTGCTTAGAGCTGCCGGACCTACCATACCGCTGCCGGACCGCTACAAGCGGTTGCTGCCGACCGCGCGCCTCTCCCTCAAATAAAATAAAATACTAACTAATTCATCACATGAAACCACGGACATTCTAAAGTAGTATTTAAGTGTCTTCTCTCAGCTTCAGCAGCAGCAGGATACAAAGTATGAAATATTCCATGGTGTTCTCTTGATTGTAGTATTGGACGCACCCACATACTACGGTGTCTTCTACGCCTACGCTTGCGTAATAATAGTACAAGTAGCAGTGTTTCTTCATCGAATTCCATCTTGTAAATGAACTCGCATCAGTAGTATTATGTTGCAGTCAAGACCGACTGCTTGGAGCACAACTGCTGCAACATGCGGTCCGTCTATGGCCAGCTTAAGTCATGCGTTATAATAAAAAGATATGAAAATTAAGATGCAGGGTAAAAAAAATTATACTTAAAATTGCACTGTATAGTGTATAGTCGCCATTACAGTGCACAAAATATTATTCTTCTTTTTTTCTGTGTCAATCTTTACGCTACTCATTATTATTATAGCCGAAGATTACAAACTTTGAACGTATATGATGATAATAAAATTTAATATCGTCGTAAAAATAACTGTTCCAGAGATGTAGTAAAATGAAACCTAATAAAGACATGTATATACGTTTATAACATAAAGCTCTAGGTTGAGAAAGCTATAAATAAAATAAAGCTCTGATTAAAGTGTGCGTTTTTTTTCATATATGTCTTCATAAGTTAGCATAAATGTCTTTTGCCGTTTTATTTCTTTTTGCAATGTTAAGGAATTTTTGTGATAATAATTCAGTAGAAGATTATCCCAACCTTAATCATTAAAGTTGAGTCCGGCTGTATAAGATTTATAATTTACAATTTTCGAAGCAATATTAAGAATTATATAGTTATAATTTGTCTCCTAATACCTATTTATACAAAAATGTGTACCTACAAATTACAATTACTAATTATAATGTTATTATTTCAAATACGCCTTAAGCAGGAAGTTCTTGGATCTATCGTTGTTTTTCGCAGACAAGAGTGACTTTTTAGGCAACCGAAATAAAAAATCAGAAATAAGTTTCAATATGAAACCCAGAACTCGACTGCTGTTAAGCACAAGATCGGAGCTATGTAAATAATGTAATATATTCGCGTTTATATAAGAAAGAAGAGTACTATTAATTTTATTTATGGTGACGAAAGTATGCCGATCTTATGTGATTTTCATTGAATTTTTCTAACAAAATATTACCACGAACAAAAAGGTACCCCTTGCATGTACGACGTAGTCGATATTGGCAGCTTATAAATAATTCAATGCTGTCAGTTTGCGCTGACATCTCTTGCTCGACCCAAAACGGATTATACCTTAGGACTATACGATCCATAGTAGAAATTCTTAACGCTAAATTTATATTGACATAACAAATATCGATGTAACTTATTAAATCATGGAATTATTTAAACTAAAATGTATAAAATAAGAAAGACCGTCTCAAAGTGGTCGTCGCTGATATTTTATTTAAATCTTATTATATATTTCGGTACACAAAGGAGGTATTCTTCGGAAACTTTTTTTATATAAGTATCATAAGAATGTACTTATTGTAATTATAACATAGCAAAAAGACATATATAGTATATACTGCTTATGTATAACTCTTTACGAGGTGTGGTCTGTAATTTTTTCATAAAATAAATGAATAGTCGATTGTCAATTGTGTTATTCAATATTAATTTCTTTTGATTTAAGATCTCATTGTTAATGCCGTAAAATTTATGAACAAAATCATAAAATATCAGCAAATTAATTATGCAAATATTAATTACAGGCAATTGCGGCTAATTAACTATAAGCTGTATCGCTAATCCATTGTATACTACCTCTACATTTATTTATATTGTATCAAAATAAAGATGTGGGATGCTGAACTATTTTAGTACGAATGTGTGGTAACATCTACAGAGAAAACGATATCAATTGATTAAATGGTTTAGAATCGCACACTCGCACAATCGCAAGTAACTCTTTTTCTAGCCATTTATATTAAAACCCTCGTTACAACTCAGTTTTTTCTAACGATTCTAACGCCCTTTTGAAAAAATTGAAAACGCTTTGTCTCTGCAAGTACTTTGAAAAAGAAGAAAAATTCGAGTACATTATAAATTCGTTTGGCATGTGCCAAGTGACAGCTGTGTGGCCTGTAGGTGACATAACTGGCTCTATCTTTACGAAATATGAAGTTGATGTTGTCTTAGGACATTTTTTATATTGAATTACTACAAACATTGTACTAAAACGGTAAAATTGGTCGTAGTACCCTAGTAATTTAATCCAAATGCGAGTATATAGTTACTGATATTTTCATTGACAGAGCCGTTGTATATTGTGGCCGAATTATATACCTTTAATTAAAAATTAAAAAATATTTAGAATAGGTAAACAAATCTTGAATTTTAATTGTATTAATTTGTACATTAACTTTTGATTTGAAATCACTTCATCGTAGCATCAAGAATATAACATTATACAGTCGCGAATACCTTCTGCTATTAATTATTTCCTGTTTTTGATGTTTCCTGAGCTATGGGAATTATAATTGCTGTTTCCAAAACTGGGGCGTAAATTTTGTTATTTAAATTTGCCTTAGAGTTTAGAAACATCATCTATATCTCGTCTAAGCACATTAAACGACCATCTGTCTTAAAATGGCCGTAAAGTTCCCGCGAAGTAGCAGCCGCTCGGAACATTTACTTTACAAATCAAACTGCCTTTAGAAAGTTCATCGCTGAGATATTTTAAATTACTTCGCAATAACTGTTTGTCTACTTAACTTAATTTATCTTAGTTTCAAGTTCTTAAGATGTTTAATACATTATTTAACCTTTCAGAGCAGTTTAGCCTAGTGGTTAAGCGTTCGAGTTTCATTGACGCTGTTAATTCAGGCACAAAAGACTAATTATCTAGTTGGCTTTCTAGGAAAATTGATAAACAGATTCAATCTAAAGCCAAGACCCGTAAATTATTAGGCTACTCGATTAATATTATAATTTTGCGATTTTAGAGACGATGTTCACCATGGCTCGTTAAAGAACTTACACATTTGGTGTACATAATTAGTAACCGCCATGTACGTTAATACTTGTGTGTTACTTATACAAATGTACTTTACTTTTATGATTTTCAATGGTAGATGGTATTGGTGACCCTAGAGCTGGTGCTTTCCTCGTTCAACGTTAAATGTACACTACCACAGGGACCAAACTTTTGAATATGTTTTAATTGTCCCTTTTTATTAATTTTTAATTATTTTTATTATTACTATGTAGGTTTGTTTGATTGTTATGATTACTAATAATCTAATGTTTTATATTTTATTATACAAAACTATATAATTCTGAAGAAATCATTAAATAAATTTGCGTTATTTACCACTTTGTATTGCTTCGTCAACCTTCAAGCTTACAGACAAAGCCCTAAGTGTAATAAGAAACATAGGGTTTAATATTGAACAAATTAATTTTTTTCAGGTTTACTATTTGAGTTTCCTGTATAGGCAATAATTTATTCTTGGACTATGAATACTGAGATAGGATAGATAATGAAACACATTATTCACATGAAATGTTATTTTTATGCATTAAATATTGGATCCGTCAGTGCTAAAACTAAAAGCTTAGTACGAATACCATTATAGTAACGAAACAACTTTATAATAAAAATAAAAATTAATTAATAAAAAAGTTAGGTAAAATATAAATTTCATATTATGCGTAATTTATTAGTTTTTAAAATAAAATGCTATTATACTATTATATTTTACGAAAAAATTGGTTAGAGTTTCAGCACCTTCATAGCTGCTTTCAATTTCCGACAAAACAATTATTGGTTTAGGTCGATAGGTATTAAGGATATTCCAAAAATAAAATTGTATTTATAAGTTATTTACTTATAAATACAATTTTATTTTAGCTTTATTTTGGCTTAGGTTATAGGAAGGCTTTGCATAAAATAAAATCAGTGGCGCTACAACCACTTTAGGCCTCAGATTTCTGAATCTGTTTCATGATCATTTTTCAATCTAATAGGCAAGTAGGTGATCAGCCAGCCACGTCTAACACGTGTCGGTTTCCTCACGATGTTTTCCTTCACCGTTCAAGCGAATGTTAAATGCGCACATAAAGTCCATTGATGCACGAACCTACGACCTCAGGGATGAGAGTCGCACGCTGAAGCCACTAGGCCAACACAGCTCACTGAAGGCTTTGCATTACTGAATCAAATAATGACATACACAAATATAACTATAGATAATACCAATGTAGGTGATTTTAATGGAAATGTTACTTTACAGATAGCAAATTCGGGCAGTTCAGTGACATTCAACTGCTCGGTAGAAGGAGGGGACAGTCGAGTGCGATGGCTTCACGATGGTGTTCCAGTGGGGGGAGGAGAAAGGGTTTTACGTGTGCATGGCGTTGTACGTGCCCATCGTGGGATGTACCAATGCTTTGCGGAGAGAGAAATGGATAGTGCGCAAGCGGCGGCTGAGTTACGGCTTGGAGGTACAGTTTTGCACGTTAACCTTTACTTAAATTTAAAATTATTCAACTTTCATACTTTTCAGTATCTTGTCATAAAATAATGTTTTTATGTATACATATATTTGAGGTTGAATTTAGGTAATTTTAAAATTAAGGTTTGAATACACTACAGAATATGATGTCTTCTTTATTATTTAGGTATGTGATTTTATTTAGTAAATGTTTTCCCGATGGCAGAATCAGGAGTATTAAAAATATAAAGAAAGATGTCAGACAAAGCGTGGACTTTAGACGTCCAACAACAGGAAGCTTCATGTCGTGTGTTCGGCTAGATATGCTGACAAATCGCAATCAATCGGAACGTACAGTCGCTTTCTTTGTCTTTTGTTTTCCATTCTTATCCCCCTAAGTAATTGAATTATATTAAATTTAGTATGTTAAAAAGCTGCGCACCGTGGGCTTATTTGGAATGAAAAAAACAAAATCACTCAATATACTGCTTTTGAATAGTATTCCCATAGTACATCAAATACGTGAATTTCTTCCGTCATTAAAGTTCGCTGAATAATATAAAAAAATACAAAATCACTCGGCTTCTTTAATATTACTCAATATTAAAGAAGCCAAGTGATTTATCAAGGAGGAACTTAGAGCCACTTTGAAATTGAAATGCAATTCCTGATTGCATAGTTTAACAAAGGTTCAGTCAGAACTGTAATTTCTACGAGTCAAGTATTCAAATTTATTCAAGTGAAAAAACTTACACTAAAACTTTTCGTTTGAACTTTAGATACACTTTTAGAGAAAATGTTATATGTGATATCCTCACATAAAAGTCTATGTGAGTAAATTTGTATTTGTTGAATTCTTTTGACTTAATGCACATGCTTCCTTTATTGTAAAATAATTATGATTTATACAGAATTGCTTCAAAATGTGCGTGGATTTTAAATTAATATAAATATAAGAATTATATAAGAATTATATAAGAATTATATAAGAATTATATAAGAATTATATAAAAAAAAAATTATATAAGAATTATATAAGAATTATTTCATCTTTTAGGTTACATTTTTGGTTATTCTGCAACTTTTGCTTTTCTCATAATGTTATCATTAATGACCTAACAAGCGTCTTTGATTCACACAACAAAGTCAAAGTCAAATCATTTATTTCAATTAGACCATCTAAAATGGCACTTTTGAACGTCAAAAAAAATACAAAGAAGATTCTAGTTGCCCCTTCCAAAAGGTAGTTTCGTGTGGAGAAGAATGGGCAAGAAACTCCAATCAATATTCTTTAATTGGGTTTCTAAATCTTTATATAATATATCATTCAACAGTACTTGTGAATGTCACTGAACTCCTCGTAAACGGCTGGACCGATTTGAATGAATTTTTTGTAAGCGTTTGGTTGGCGCTATGGTTTAGATTCACAAATCAGCACGGCAGATGGCGGTGTTTTGGTACTTTCTTTGTTTAATATCTTAAGCCCTTGAAATATCATGCAGGACAACTTTTGTTGGGTCCGCTAGTATTATTATAAATTTCTTTGAAAACTCAAATATGTCCATACATAGAATGAAAGCTAAAAATTATAAAAATCATACATTTTACAAGTTATTTACAAATAAAATAGGTAGACAAAAATTGGTAATATATTCCAGTTTATTGAAAGTAAATATACAGTGATTTGAAAGGAATTTACTATGAAGGTTATTTGAATAAAACCTCGACTTCAATGAATGTTTGGAGCATTTTTTACGATATTTCTCAGCCTACACATCAAGTACCAAACATGCGGCCGATGTAGTAATTACTAGAGGTTAATTACAGTTCCTCGATAAGGCTCTCATACTCGATTGAGCAATAGCCAGCTAAATACCCACTTATTGGAAAACAGTTACTGTTATCGCTCCGTGACTTTTAATTGTTTATTTTTAAATATCGAATCGTATTAAATAAATTGATACAGTTTTACTGACATAAGATATTGTTTGTGGCGCGATAATTAAATTAAAACCTTAATTACAGGATTTAGTTATATTTACTTATAGAAAACGTTCTAAATGTATACGCTACGAATGGGAGGTCAAAAAAGTTCAGATTGATGTTTTTTTATATTGAAAGAGTAGAGAATATTTAAAAAAAGTTTCGTCCGAGGTAAATTTGCTATAAAATCAATTATGACCTTATGAGATAAGCCACGCCAGTTGCATCACCAAATTCGAACACAAAGTCCCAAAATTTATAAGTATTTTTCAAAGATTAAATGCTTTAATCTTTTTATAGCTTAAAGGCAAACAATATGTGTATAGGATCTTTTGCCCATTTAATGTAAATGCCTTTGACATTGTTTTAAAAATGTTTTATATAAATGTCTCTACGGGCCTGGGTAAAATGTTTCATTTTTTAAGTAATGAGTTTGATGTTCCCTACAGTGAGTGAGTTACCTAGACTTTTAAGTTTAAAGTACTTCAGAAAGTGACATGGTTTCAATACTATGATGATAAAATTATTACATGAAGAAAATATATTTTAAAAATTATTGTCATGCTTGATACCAGTGTTATTGTAGTGGTAAAGAATGCCGAGTGGAAAAATCGATTAGGTACAAAAACTTGCCTTTAAAGATGATCCAGTAAGGCTAAGATCCATTAAGGATTGATCTGCCACAGGATATACCATTAGACACGTTACGTAAAAGCATTACGTAAATTGATAGTATGCAAGTGGGAGGGTATAGTGCAATATATTGGGTTGCGTGGATCGGCCGTTATTGATTAAAGCTTGCAGTAATGACCGGTCATGCGTCGAGCCCGAACCAAATTCATACAACCGTTCTGAAACGGGAGGCCTGTATAATTGGAATTATTGTGGCATGTGATTATGGCCGTAGCATGTTCGTAGTACTGTATTATGGCGTAGCGCGACGTAGCTACGTAGCTTTGACTCCTGATGTCTATAAAAATTTTAGTAATTAAGATTCGAACAGATTATATTATGTTATTAAAATACATTCTCAATAATATATATTTCTCTATTTAATTAATTCATTAAAAATAAATAACGCAGATTTAAGTATATATTGTAGACTTCGTAGCACCAACGCTACGCAATTCCGTAGTACCTGACGCAATGTTTCGTTGATAAGTTCAATTGTTACTGGCAATGACCATCATCGCAATCCCTTAGAGACCACAGATTACTAGACCATATTGCGCTATCGCATCCTAACCCAGAACTTTTCGTAAATATTTAAATAATTCTATACCGCAACGATTATGTTTACTAAAATACTTAGACGAGGCCATATGTTACATTTAGTAAGGTTATATTGTAGTACAGCTTATACTAACAAATATTAAACGGTCGTTAGAGATTGATATTTCAATACAAAAGTCGTAAAATATTATAGTTGTCAGAGCACAAAGAGGAAATAAATTGGGGGACGGATTATGTAAAGAAATGGTATAATAGTCGAACCGGTTATTATATTCTCCAATCGGAATCCAAATCAGTATACTATATTTAACTATATTAAATATATTTTTTTGCTCTATCTAACATCTAAAATATTTATATTAATATATATATAAACCTGAAGTGTTTGGATATTGATTGTATCCAAATTTATTCGAAATTTTAAGTTTTACCTGATACATTACTGCAATTCATAAATATCTTTTAGCAGATACTGTTGTCCGGCCCTTCTAATAACATATGTAGGACTTAATCCAGATTAAAACACAATTTACAACAAATAACCTCGTGAATTATCATGACTATTCTTGTTTTTTAATATCTTTAATATAAAACTTCAAAAACTTTATGAAACTCTACATCTGAGCTAAAATTATGGTTTTACATGAAAATGGTTGCAAGTTAAATGGCTTAGTTGTATAAACAGTGAAATTGGATCGCAATTTGTGGAAAGCTGGCGATCATAAGCGGGCGTCGAGCCAAGACGATTATTTGTTTACTTGCTGTTTGATACATGAAAACATTCTTATCTTGTAAGAATACTGTAAATTAAGTTTATAAGGTTAATAAAACAAGTCAAATAAAATGAAGGAAGTTTTTAGTTTTAAACTCTGGAAAAATATTCGGCCACCAGTAATTCTCTGCGTAGACGTATCCGTATTGAAGCGACTACGCGTTTATATATTTGTAGTAGTGTGTCGGCTCAGCTGAACTTTTATTCGATGTTTCTCATTAAAGGACGGATATCCGTTACGACCAAAATATGACGAATTAATCGCAAGACGCTTTCCATACCTACCTAAACCCTCCAACCTCTAAGCTTGTGGTAAGTAAAATATTTTTCATGAAAAAAAACTGCAAAAGGATTAAATTAAATAAGGTTCCTTGGGAACAAATAGATCCACTGAAGATAGAAGACAGATACTGAAGGATTACTTGATACCTACTTGACTATAGTAAACATTATCAATTAAATAAATAATTAAAGCCCAGACGTCGTCATTATATGTATGTAGTACCTATGATTGAGACCATTAATCAATATATAAATCTTGTCACTTACGCCTTCCACAAGTCCACTGTGCCGTATATAGCTTATGATTGGGGAAACGTCATACGCATTTGTGTGTCAGACAAAATTGGGATCACGGATTTCGTCGATGTGTTTGACATGGGTCGTGTAACCTTTGATCTTAGTCGAACAATCAATTGTATGAAATGTTTCGTCATATAATGTATATGTTGTACTAAGTCATAATAAACGTTTGTAAAAGTCACTTTGTGACTGTTTGGTGACTCCGTTTGGTTTCATAGATGTGTAGCAATAATATTATTATAATATATTAGGGAGCGTTCAAGTATTACGTAACGAATTTTGGGGGGGGATTCCTTTTTCACCGTTACGATGCGGGGCGGGGATTGAATTACGCGTTAGTGTTAATATTATATTCGACTTTCCAGTACTTTACATATGGTAACTTTTAGGTATAAAGAGTCACTGGGTGGTCACGAAACGTTTAACTATACTTGGGTACATAAAAACGTTGCGGCTCGTTACATGGGGAGGGGGGTCATTAATATCCAAAAATTGCGTGACGTAATACTAGAACGCTCCCTTATTGGATTAAAAAAAGTGGTATCATTAACTTTTATGCAAAATTTATGGTAAGAAAAGGGGTCATAAAATATTTGCTTCATAGTTAAGTTCATCTAACAAAGTGGTAAACTGACAATATTTGTTATAAGAATGTTTCTCGTATTTCTCTTCACTTATACCAAACATCCGTAATAGAGCTGGACATGATATACAAGCACATAACTCCGATGTCGTCTACACTGCGCGCCCTAACCGACTATGCCCCTAAATTATATCTCATTTATCCAATACATTCTCTTTTAGGACTATTAACTATCACACGTTTTCATTGCCTTAGACTGCTGTTAAAAAATAATTTAATCATATAGGTAAGTTGAATTGTTTTTGTTACCGCTGCCTACCGAGTTGATACTAAACATTCAAACATGGCTTCATGAAGTAAAAACAAGTATGAACGTCAAAAAAAAAATTATATGAAATGCTTCTAACTTTACATTTAGTGCCAGTTCTCAAATCAAGGGCGTAGAACGGAAGAGAAGAACTGGCAATAAACTCTCCGCCACTCTTTTTAATCGCCATGTTTTTTTACACAACGTTTTTAAGAAGCTGCAACCATTACACAATGTTCCACATGAAATCTTAAGTAATAAATAATAATAACATAAATGTAAAGAATTCGAATCGTTAAGCAAGGTTTTGAAATGCCTACATCAATTAAGTATTGGAAAAGTTACAATAATTAGTCACTTTGCAAGTAAAATTGACGAAAGATTGTTTAACAAACTAAGACTTAATTAGGAATAAGACAATAAAAAAAATTAATCAATAAAAACATTACTGTTGTAATTACGTTGGTAATGTCCGACTGTTTTACCGAACTTTAAACATAATCAGTATGTAAATATAGTATGTTATTTAAATAAAGATAAACAGACTTTTTTATATATATATAATAAATATATGTATTTATTTTTATATTTATTATTTATTAAACATATTTACAGTATACAGTATTTATAATTTTCTTAACCTACAAAGTAATTAAAAATAAAAGTAAAAATTATTGAAAAGAAAATCAAAACAAATTTAAAGTTTGGTCGCTGTGGCAATTTACATTAATAATTGAAGAAAACATTTTGAATTGGTTCTCGTAGCGCAGTTACATTTTATCTCTCTTATCTCTAATTCTATTTGAGAGCACCACATTGGAAGTGATGGACGACGGCCACTTCTTTGTTTACGAATGCTCTGATTGGATTCTGTTGTGACGGCACTGATTTATGAGCCGCGCGCACATTATTTGTGAATTACTTTTATTTTAACATGGTTTTAGGTGTGTTTATAATAAATAAGATCACAATTTAATTCCAGGTTATATGAATACAAATAGTTGCTGTTGATTGGTTGTAAATTTATTTAAATAAAGATTAAGATATCAGAGTCACAATAATTATATATTTATATTAATTATTGTGACTCTGTTAACCTTCTGATTGTATTTTAAATTTTTATTTAATACATATTTTTATTTATTATAATTGTTATTTTTACTTTATTTTAGTTATAGTAACGTGTTATTTTGAGTTTTTTTTTTTGTTTATAATTTTTGCATTTCTTGTACTCTTCCCTCTGTAGGTGTTCCTTTTTCATTGTTCCACATGAGGGTTGCCTGGAAGAAATCGCTTGTTAGCGATAAGGCCGTTGCCTTATAACTTCTGTAACCTGCTTTTTTTATTTTTGTTATGTGTATGTTTTTGAATAAGGTAATAAAGTATAAATAAATAAATAAAAACGATTTTTCTCATCAACACATAGTCCGTCCTACTAGTAATGGCAACAGAGGTTAAAAAGACAGATAAAGCTTATACAATATAAATGCCTCGTATAAAAAAGAATAATAAAGCTTTACATAATGCTCCATTTGGGCCACATTACGGGTTGCTACTTGTCACGAGTAAACAGGCTTAAACATTTATTACCAATTTAGACAAAGAAATATTACACGAGTGGCTAAGCGATTTGGAAGACTGCAGACATGTTCAAACCGACTGTTTTTATTACATTAAAAAAAAGATTATGTGGTTTTATGAAACCACGGTAAAAGTGAAACTTTTTTTCACATTATAGACATTCAACTAAATTTTTTTGGAATAATATTCCATTAAGGGTATAAAAATCGCTTTATCAATCCTAATTTTATACTTGGAAAATTGGAATGAAAAAGTAGACCAAGTCTCCAACTAATATTTTTATTGAAATCTGTGTCTTAGAGAGTACGTCATACATAATACTTAACAATTATTTAGATTATACACACATATTAAATAATAGTCTATACACTACACGGTCAGCGACCTATAGGCGCCGCCATATTGGCCTTGGCTGCTATGACGAGCGCCTTTCACTTTATCCCTACTCCACAGTCGACCGTCACGCGACATGCGACACACAGACGAAAAAGTTTGAGACGATGTAATAAAAGTTTCACTTTAAAAATTGTAAAAATCATAATATTTTGTACAAATGTTACAGACACGGCTCCAGAACTGCACTACACATTCATAGAACAGGCGTTACACCCTGGGCCTGTAGTTGCTTTACATTGTTCTGCTTCTGGATCGCCTTCACCTCGCTTCTCCTGGTTGTTGGATATGCAGCCTATTGAAGAACATAATACGCCACAAAGGTAAGTAGTTAAAGTCTTTTACGTTTCTGTTTCATCGTTTTTATTTGTTTTTTTATCTGCTGCAGTTTTTGCTTTAAATTTTGATTGTCCGTTAGTAGGAGAGCTGGTATTATTTAATATTATTTGTTTGCAATACAATGCTCTCATGGGCTATTCTTAAACAAATATAGGTACTTTATCCGATGAGGACGACAAATATTTATGGTTTAATAGATAGAAGACTGTGTTCAATATATATGCTTATTTTATATGATAATATTTTACTACAGGAGTATTACCCAATTCCTGAGTCCTAATGGAGACGTGGTGAGCTACCTTAACCTGACGTCAGTACGGCCTGAAGATGGCGGACGGTACACATGTCGGGCTCACAACTCGCGCGGCGCTGTCGAACACTCCACTCGGCTCAATGTCTACGGTAATATTTTAATTTCTTGGAATATATACTTCTTCTTCTTAAAATTAAAACCAATATTTTTTCTAAAACGTTTGCATCTAGACCCAAATCTATTTTGGTTACCCTTGCGAAATGTGTTTCAAATAATTGTAAGTTAAAAAAATCCCCGTTGCAGGTCCGCCATCAATCCGCAACATAAGCCCAGTGCGCGTAGTGGCCGGAGTTAACACGACCATCTATTGTCCCTATTCAGGATTTCCAATCAGGTTGATGGAGGTGCATTTGTTTAGTTAAATTATAAGTTTTACTTATGTTTCTTTTTTAGGTTAGTAGATTGCATGAAATTATCCTTACTTTGTAAGATTACAGTATTATTTCTTACATTACAGAAGATTTTCTTGGATGTGATAGTCTTATTTTAATAGAATTGTATTTCCGTATGTGACATACATCCCTACAAACTTCTCAAAACTAAGCAAAGAAATAGACAGGCATTTCTACCGTAGGTTAAACATTAATTTTTTCATATATATTCAATTGTTTCATATATAAAAAAATATTATTATCAAAACCGTACCCTACTTAAATCTCCTTACTATTGATGATGATATATCTAAATTGATCTAATACTTTTCTATAAGTACTACCTGTTACAAATATGATTAGTTTGAGAACAGCCTGGCGATTCTGTAACTCACTTTTCGAACTCACACAGCGGCTTTCGAAGCGACGGTCGCGCTCAAATCAGTCGTGAAACAGTCCTTTTATGATTTGGCATTCTGATAAACAATAAACTACAAGCTCCCTCCTTATGAGCGCGATCACCGCTGTGTGAGTTCGAAAAGTGAGTTATAGAATCGCAAGGCAGGTTAGATATAAACAATCCCCAAAAAATACCGTAATACTATTCCCTTCAGTGAGATCCGATGGCAGCGCGGTGGGACAGATATATCGGCTAGTGGTGGGCGCGCATTGTCTGGCGTAGGAGGGGAACTACTTCTATGGCCTGCTGAACCTTCTGATGCAGGACTTTATTCGTGCAGAGTCTCATCACCCGAAGGACACTATGCCCAGAAGGACGTTCAGATATTTGTTAGAAGTTAGTTTTATTTATATTAGATATGAAGTGCTTGATGCAATAGATACGTAAGGAAAAAAATCTAAATTAAACTAAGGAATTCTAAGAAATAAAACAAACACATTCACAGCTGGGCTTAGAACGCAAGACCTTAGTGTGGGAAATTTTACGCAATCCTGATTGAAATATTTAGACAATTTATGTAATCGTAAATTACTTAAATTGTAATTAAAAATAAATATATAATTTAGCCATTTTCTTTACTATTATTACCGACTCATATTTTTTAATTGTCATAAGATAGATCTATTCTTATGTTTTGCTACAGATCCACCAAAAATAGCTGGTTTTACGTTTCCTTCGGACCTAGTAGAAGGCAGTTCTATACAAGTATTATGCGGCATCACTTCTGGAGACAAACCGGTCTATTTCTCCTGGCTCAAAGATGGACAGACTCTTCCATCAAACCTTCAGGTAGCAAAACTATGTTTTTATCGAGAGTACGTATTGAGCAAAATATTGAATCGTTTTTTTCTCTCGCACATCTGGAAAAAAAATGTTTTACCGGTACTCGGACCCGTGTTAATACCCCTCACGTTAACAGAAGCGTTAGATTTTAATATTGTTAACTTAAATTTGACAGTATAAAAACTTAAACTGTAACGATGTTTTGACTTTTTTTCAGTTTTAAATATTTTTCCATGAATAACGCCGACTTTGTCCTTTTACATATGAAGATTATATTTCAAAAATTATAAAATAAGGTTAAGTTGGTTAATATATTAATAATAAATCAATAATCTTGATTACAGGTTCAAGAGAAATCTCTTGATGAATTCAGTTTTCTGATTTTCTCCCACGTGACATCACAGCATAGCGGCGAATATACTTGCGTCGCAAGCAACTCTGCGTCTGAGGTTAATCATACCGCGAGATTAGCTGTTAAAGGTAATGTCAAACAAATTTCCTTCTTTACTTATTATAAAATGAAGTCTCCCGGCCGAGTATACGATAAATTTAAATACTACAGAAAGAAATGTTTACGTTTTTTATCCATATTAATATATAATAGGTAAACTTATGTAAACTTACTGATTGATCAAAACTATATTTTCAGTTGCACCGTCGTGGGTGTTTGAGCCGCAAGACGTGTCTGCGCTGCTTGGTACTCCCATACTAGTGCATTGTTCTACAAAGGGATATCCGGAGCCGAAAATATCGTGGCATAAAGGGCATGGTAATTCACAATTTCATCCTGCATTTCAAAGAACATTCAATTTTCATATGAAAAAAAATACGAGCTATGAAAATTGCCATGTAAAATAACTTTTTATATTTTATGTATTTATTTAATAAGCTCTCGCCAAATTACTGAAATACACAAATTAAAACCTAAAAACAATAACAATAATCTCTGTATATAAAATTATCGTGTCACAATGTTCGTTCCTTTGATTAATGATTCTTATGAAATTTTTTATGCATATTCAGTAAGTCTGAAAATCGGCTACTATCTATATTTCAAATCCTTAAGTTATGGGGAGTGTCCACCCAAAAAAAAATTTTTTTTTTATGATACAGCATACAAAAATACATACAACCCCTAATTCTCACCCCTGTACGATCAATCCCTATTTTTTTATTATAAATGATAAACATGGCAAAACGACGTTTGCCGGATCAGCTAGTATTATTATAAAATTGCCACAGCAACATTTCATTCGACAACTTACGTACTATTTAATCCTTGGTAAATTTATTAAAATGTTTCCTAGAAATAATATTCATGGCCAAACAAACGTTTCCCGGGTCAGCTAGTAATGATATAAAAGAATATAGTAATATCTCTAATATATAATATATCTTACTTAATACATTTTGGTTTCAGGTTCGAATCCTACTGATTTCCGTCCCCTAACGGGTCTTGAAGCGGCAATATCATTGCTTGGTAATGGATCATTAAGCGCGCTCTCCGCGTCGCATACACACGAAGGTCGCTACATGTGCCGCTCTGACAATGGTGTTGGTAGAGGACTGTCTAAGATCATCACTATCTCTGTCAATGGTAAGAACAAGTACCTCAAACCTCTGTGAAGAAACGTCTATGTAAATGCCGGAGTTTGGAGATTTCTGGCGTACCTAATAACTTTTTGTAGGCACAAAAGGCTAACGGCCTATATGGATCAATATATTCAAAATATGTGTGTCACATGCCCTATTGGTTGGTTGGTAGTTCTTTAATCGTCGACGTCTACTAGGACAAAGGCCCCTAAATTTCCAGTACGGCCGGTTCCCCGCACTTTGCATCCAACGCCCTCACCAGGTCATCTGTCCTCATAATGCGAGGCCCTCCTACGCTTCGCCGACCGGTCTTCGGTTTCTATTCCAGGCCTTTTTGCCCCATCCGCCATGCGTTCATCGGGCAATGTGCCCCTTTGAAAGTTTAGTATCTGGAGGTGTTAAAATTTAATTATAAAATTTAGAGTTGTTACAGCTATTACGCTGTTAAGACTACTGCTTGAAACAAAACTATGATGCTTACATAAGAAGTATTACTGAAACAGCTGTTTGGACATTTCTGCGATGTTTGTAGTTGTCACTTTTTTTACCTAAGTCAAAATTACTAACCAACTTAAAAACAACTCCAAGGAGCTACAGTTCGCGTATAATTTAATTTTTTTCTATATCTATTGTTTTGTTTCATTGACATGTTCTATGATTTCAGAGCCAGCACAATTTGAGTACTCATCCCGCAATATGTCAGTTCGACGAACGGCGTCTGTAACTCTATCTTGCGCTGCTCGAGGCGACTCGCCCATCCAGCTTCACTGGACTCACAATATGAGACCTTTGGACCTTAATACTTACAGGTAAACCTTAATTTAGTACAATACCTTGTGCCATGATCAGTACAATACTTGAAAACTAATCAAATTTACTTAGAAACCCACTAAAATAAGAATCCTATGAAAGCAGTGCATTAAAAGCATAGCTGTTGTTAATATCCATATATTATTGCGCCGTATTAATTTATTTTTGATATATTTGTCGTCGATATTTGACATGTAGCAAATAATATGTTAATTAATTAAGCTAAAATTACTTTTGTTCGTTTGATTAGTCGTAACAGTAAAACTATTTTTTCTAAAAACATTGTTTTAAACATACACCATGTACCACGGAAAATTGTTAGATCAATTTTGTCACAATCATATTTCTGTCATGAATTAAGTTTTTTTGTATCAATGTTTAGGGTCTCAGTATCAGAGAAACGATCAGAAAGCGGAGCGAGTTCTGAGCTGACGATAGCGCACGCACAGCGACGGGACTCGGGCGTTTATAGATGTCGCGCGGAAAACGCGTACGGCAGAGATGAGCTTCTCATATATCTGGCAGTGCAAGGTATAAATGCGCATAATTCAGTATAGGACATATTTCAGTACACAATTTATATTGTTGGTGTTACCTGGCCTTTTGCCTGGCCTGGCCGTTGGTGGTTAAATAAACCTGTACTATTATATATATTTAAAGGGTAAGAGTAGATTCTATTTTAACAATGTTTTGGATAAAAGCTGAATATAAATAAGCCTGCAATATATTTAGCTGGTCATAGAAAAAGAACTAGTTATTATTGTCCAAAATCTTATTTAATTTTTGGTGCTTTCCTCACTCAACGACTAAGTATCGCGATACATTGCCATAGGGACCAACATTTTTAAATTTGTTTTAATTTTCTTTTTATTAATTTAATTATTTTTATTATGTAGGTTAAGAAAATTGTAAATACTGTATATTTGATTTTTATGTTTATGTTTTAATAAACGATTTTTTTTTTGATGTCTTGGTACGTTAAGCCGTAACTACACTACTAAATATTAGATTATTTCATTATTATTATGAATGAAATATTTATTTAACAGAGTTTCCGGAAGCCCCACGTGGCTTATCAGTGAAACAGCGCGAGGGTCGCGCAGCAACTGTGCAGTGGCGGCGCGGTTTTGACGGCAACGCGCGTCTCCGTGCATTTCGTTTACAGTATCGAGTAGTTGGTCACACGCAGCTTCCACCTGATTGGAGCCTTGCTCCTACACGAGAATTGCCCGCTGATATCCTAGTTCAGAAGTAAGTAACAATATAATTATAAAAATTCCACATATTCACATAACTTAATGATGCACCAATAAAGCTTTATTGCTGGCGGTATATCGCGAGAACTACAAGTGAATGTATTTAGAATTTTATGATAATATTTAAACCGAATGCTTAGTAGACTTCGCTCCGCTGATATTTAATTATATCTGAATTTCTCCAAGGTTGTATTAGTAGTTATTGCCAAAAAAAATTATCGTTATCTACGTTATATATCGTCGTGCTACGTTTCAGGCAGGAATCGTCAGATCCTGAGTCAGGAGTTCTCCTGGAATATCGTGTTGAAGGACTAAGGCCTGCCACTGCTTATGCTTTAAGACTAGCAGCTGTTAACGATATTGGCGACAGCGACTATTCAGATTCAGTCATTGTGAATACTTTAGAAGAAGGTAGGATTTTTATTTATAGTAAAAAGTTGTACCTATATGAGAAAATGGCTATAATTTGTAAGAATTATAATTTCTTTCTCTCAGAAATTTTGTGCATTGACTTGACTAATAAAATCTAATAGACTTCTTCTTCTTCTTGAATTGTCTATCCACTACTGGAGGTTGGCGGTCAGCTCGTCATACTCCTTCTTATTTCTAATAGACTTTTTTATATGATAAAAAAATTTGTCAATATATTCAACTCAACCTAGCTAAAATAAATTAATATAACAAAAAAAACAATACGAACCTTAAAAAAAAATTGTTATTTAAATATATTATCATGTATATGATTATGTGTATACATTGCAGCTCCATCAGAACCTCCCAGAGGTGTAGAGCTTCTACCGGATGCTCCCGGCGAGTTACTTATTAAGTGGCAGGTGCGTATTTTTGTCTAAAATCCTTTGTGTTTTTTGCTGTCGTGAACGCTTTATATACATATTTTACCTAATACATACTAATTATAATCAAATCAGTTAAGCACTTCAAGTGAAAATTTTAGTTCTAAAGAAGTTTTGTTGGCATAATTAGTAGCATTTTCATACTAATTCCAGGCTCCGAGCCAAGAGGCATGGAATGGCGAGCTCTTAGGGTATGCAATATGGTGTCGGGGTGAAAACGCATCTCTATCTCTTTCTGTCGCTGGATGGGCAGCTGCGAGTGTAAGACTCGGGGCACTAAGACCGCACGCGAGATATGACGTCACAGTTAGAGCTTATAACTCTGTTGGTGCTGGACCTGCGTCTACGCCTCTAGCCACTACAACCTTAGAGGATGGTGTGTATTTTTCATACTTCCATGAATGTGAATTTTTTTATCAAAAAACCCTAATATTTACTGTGTTTGTGCACTGTGTGCTCCTTTTCATTAATTTTAACTCAAGTTCAAAAAAAGAAGGTTAATAGTTTGACCTATACCTATGTATGTGATATTGGTAGAATCAGAAAAAAATCTTCTTCGGGCTAGCCAGTCACTACGCTTGTCGAGGATCATCCTTTTAGGTCGGATGAAGAGCAGTATCTTCCTTTCTCCACCAGACATATTCTTCATATAATTAAAGATTATAGGTTATATTGAGGTTTATTCTGCATTTATCAATAACATTATTAAAATAAAATTTTATTTATTATTTTCATGCTTTTTCCAGTACCTGATGCACCCCCTCAACATGTACGCTGTGAGCCACTTTCATCTCAATCACTCCGTGTCTGGTGGGAACCACCCCCACTGGACAAACGGGGAGGAATGCTCATAGGATATGAGATATCTTATAGGGTAAGAATTCGTAGTAAATAATAATTGAAGTATTGAGAAATAAGATATTACCTACTGTGTGAACAATACATATACAGTATTGTACTTTATAATAAGTACTTGAAACCCTATAACGTTCGTTATTAATAAAAGAAGAAGGCTTATGTCTTTTGTTTATGATTGTTTCAGACAGAAAATTATTTATATGTTTAAAGTACTGAGAGCCTTAAGTAAATCATAATAGAACCTTTATGTATCCACAGATTACATATGTTTCTTTGATTGCATTATTTTATAGCAGTATCCAGTCTTCTGTGCCTAACACACGTCGTCACATTTTGTAATAATTCGAAAAATGTATCCAGTCGGTAGAACGGGAATCAGGCGTGTGGGAACGCCGGCGTGCTGGAAGTGGTGAGGCGCAGTTGTCCGTACTGCGAGCGGGAAACTACTCGGTGCGAATTGCTGCTCGGTCCACTGCTGGCTTAGGAGTCCCAGCACATATATACTGCGCTACTCTCGATGATAGTACGTACATATGGAGCGAATTAAAATCACTAGCAATAACGACACATGCCTTATGGTAATTTCAGATTTTATGAGATCCAATGGGATAAATCAAACCAGGTGATAAATTATTCTGTTCTCAATCTACATCGTTCTACAGTTCCAGGCCCTCCTGCAGATGTAAAGGTGTTTCCTCATACAGAAGACTCGGTTATATTGAGCTGGCTACCGCCAATGCAGAAGAACGGACAAATACTTCACTATCGCGTTTATACTCGTCCGCAAAGGTGTGTGAAATTCTATAACACTGGGGCTATGAAGACCTTAAAAATTGTGGCGATGGCGCTGACACATGTGTCTTGTTGTAGGATGTATTTAGTTTAGTAATGTTTCTTAAAAAGATATTATTGTTCATTAACACGACAGAGGTATAGTTGTTATATCAGGCATCGACCGGAGTAGATTAGGTACATAACATAATAAATAAAAATAAAAGCTGTATTGCTTTTTTTGGTGAATAATTTGTTAAAACAGTTAAAAATAGATCTAGAATGTTGTAGTATCAACTGGGTAAATATAATATGTATAGGCAGCGGCTGTGCTAGCAGGAACTACCAACAAACCGACTTTTAGTAAGCAGTATGCTGAATATCCAGTGCCAAATAAAATAATTAAACATTTTATTTAAGCGAAAAAATATATAAATAAGAGATATTAATGTTAGAAGTAGTTTTGTGAATAACTTTTATTGAATATACACAAAAACTCAAATCGTACAGCGTTTCGTAGGAGCTACTTCCCGGTTGCTTAGTTCTCTTAAATGATCGTAATAGTTTAAATTGTCTATACAGGATAGGTCGTCAGAGTGAAGTGGTGACGATATCCAGCGGTCAGCAGGATCAAGAGCAACAATTGGTGGTTTCGGGGCTGCAACAGCAACTGTATGAATTGTGGGTGTCAGCCGCGACAGCCGCGGGGGAGGGTGATATGAGCACCATTGTTGCTGCTAAGCCTAGCGCTAAAGTTAAGTTTTTAAATGATAATTATTTGAAACAATTTTACATGATATCCATTGAAAGGAAAACATATTCTAAATTACATTTACCTGGCATACGTCGCCTCCAAAATGTGAATCCATATCCCAAAAACTACTCATCCTATTTTGTATGAAACTTGATCTTTTCCCTTTCTCTTCTTCTTCTCTTTATTCTTCTTCTTTTTCTCTTTCTTCTTCCTGTCTTTCTTCTTAAATATATTGATATAGGTGACTTAAATCGTGACGAACATCTCGATTTGATTTATTAGTTTCCGATACATTTCAGGACGAACAAACACGAAAGAATACCACAGATATACAAGTATTTTTTTAAAGTCGTAAAATTTTGTAAAATATCTTAATGAAAATAGCTTATCAATACTTGCTTATATGATATCCTAACTATAACTATTTCAGGCGGGGCTAAAGTGAGTTCATTCCCTCGTCGTTTGACAGTTCCTGTAGGCAGTTCAATTGCGATTTCATGTTTTGCTGCTGGAGCTCTTCCTGTGTCACGACTTTGGACTCGCAGACGACCACCACCTCCTCATGCTGATCATCGAATAAGAATGGAGGGGCATATGCTTGTTATCAACAGTAAGTAAGGTTTATTATTATAATATTAAACCACATAAAGAAACATAGATAATACAATATAGTAGGCTCTTAGGGTAACATTCAGAAAAGAGATGGCACGAAGTATGGCTACAGTGTGTCAGCGTATTGCACTTAGATGAGAGTTTTTTATACATTTTAATATTTATTAAATCTATTTCTTGTATACAACTCTATCTTACAATAATTTGCATACATAACATACTCGTCATACATACAACACAAAGTAGAGCAACTCAACAAATAAATTGATTTACTTTGAATCCATAAAATTATTTAATGTCGCCGACAACTCCAGTTCAAATTTACATGTTACATGAAAGAATGTAACTACTCTTTGTATTTTAATAATAAGTTTAATAACGTGTGTTAACCTAATTTAATTTATGACAAAGATACATTTTTCTAAGTTAGGTATTTAATCCACTACTAATTCTATGAACATTGCGCGGTACACACATACAATTTTAGCAACACAAGAAGCACCTTTTGAGTCACTATAAAATCCATTTTTAGGATTTGATAAAACATTAGCTTACTTGCTAGAGACATCTTTTGTAACTCTATTTATTGCATAAAGAAACTGTACCATAATATATGGGTTGCTATAATAATGGATGTAATAATTAATTTCATATTAATTATGATTATAACACAATTAATTAAAGAATTGATACAAAATAAGTATTGTTTAGTTTTGAAATTAAAACGTAAATTGCAAGAAAACTGTCATAGTTGGTATACCACACGGCACACATTGGTTATACTCGTAAATGATAAATGATTTATTTCTGTAAGTAGGTTTGTACAAACACTTTTACACGTCAAGCATAATTTTTTTTTAAACTAGATGAGTTCGACGTTTCCTATCTGACTACTCTGAGAAGAAACGCCGAAACAAACTCAGAGGTCACAGTCTCTTTTAAAGTCCAGACATAACAAGATTATGCGAAGACCATGTAGATTGCAGTCTGAAATGGTCTTTTGAGGAAAGAACCACACAGATTGAGTGGACCTGACAAGTCAGTGCACGCATTTGTCAGTAATCGTGCAATTCGTGTCTCGTAGTCGAGATTTGTTTAACGTTGCCGTTATTGACTTAATTCTCTAACTCGGGTTACTTTTGAATAAATTTGCAATGGTGTACTATTTATAGACAACTTATCTCAATTTGTTTGTATTGGAAAACGGGGTTTTTAGTTATTTATAAATTTCTTGGACTTTTACGAAAATATGCATATATCACATTCATTATAAAAAAATGGATAACATTTTTATGTTTTTTACAGAAGTCGAGCCAAGTCTAGCAGACAACTACACCTGCACAGCTCGCAATCGTTGGGGTGAAGATCACGGTACTTGGGAGTTGATGGCATTACCTCCACCATCACCACCACGTCTTACCCTCACAAGCGCATCACCAACCGCTCTAATTCTGGCATGGGACTCTTCTGGAGCTCATAGTCAGTAATCAATTATTCAGTTTAAGCCATGTAGTGGAGGACTATTAATATAAATTTAATTGAAATATGCAGTAAATTGTAATCCCTGGTAGTTTCGGTTAAAAATATTCAGATAAATAATAAGTGCGGTAACATCGCATTAAATATTGCATTCTAGAAACTAAACAATACGAAAATGTTAATGTCAATAATTCCTACATTTAAACCTAAATATTTATAAATTTGTGTAAAGTATTGTTTATTTATTTATTTAGTTACTAAGCTTACGACATCACACACAGTACTAAATCTACTAATTATTTTAAAAATCTTACATCGAAAATATGTGACAATTAATGTAAACTTAAGTTTCACAAATAATAAAATAGAAATTAAAAATTAAAAAATACAATTAAATCATATACGATAATACAAGCACACAATAAAATTAGCAGAAAAAAAAGAAAAATCATCAGCAAAACAGCGAAATTAGGTTCGAGAAAGGCACCCCACAATGCTTTCTCTAAATACTGTTTTACTAATTATAAGCTTGATAGCTTAATTATTAAAACGTAATGTAATGACAGTTTTACAAAAATACCAATTTATTTGACTATCTTATATTTAGGTTACAGCTTAGAATATGCACGAGGTGAAGCCCCATGGCAGTACCGTTGGGTTTGGGGCGCAGCACGGAGTACGGCACTACGTGGACTGGCGTGTGGTGCCTCCTACCGAGTGAGACTGCGAGCTATGGGAGATGCTGGAGCGGCACTAAGTGACGTTCTACGTACTGCAACACCTGGTGGATGTAAGTAAGGCCATTATTATGTTATAAATAAGACGGCAAATTTCGAGGTTAAATAGTTTTTTTTGTGTTTATGTTTTTGTCCGTAAACTTCATTATGTATATTGTGTTACCTATTCAGAAGTGTTTGGTGTATAAGTGTTACTTATACACGAATAGAAGTAGTTGTATACAAGTGTTGCATGTAACATATGCTACAGTAGTTAGTAGCTTATGTTATATGCAACACCTGTAAGTTGACCAATAAATAATAATTACGTGGAAGTGCGGCACTTCTTACAGAGTTGGACTGCGGACTTTGGAGTCAATACAATTCACACAACAATAACAGTATTGTTTGAATAATTTTTTTATCGGAAATATATACTTCTACAAATATGTAGTACTCGCGTAACCAAAGACATGCATAATCAAAATAATATGCATTGCTACTCGTAAAGCAGTGTTAGTCTAATGGATTGCGACTCTCATCCCTGAGGTTGTACGATCCTCGGCTGTGCACCTATAGACTTTGTTTATGTGATCATTTAAAACTTGCTTGTACGGTGAACGAAACATCGTGAGCAAACTTGCTTGCTTTAGATCCAAAAACTCGACGGCGTGTGTCAGGCACAGAATGCTGGTCACTTACTTGCCTATTAGAGAAAATAAAGATCTTGAAATATTAGGTCCTTACATATGAAATTGGCGTTTTACGTTTTGGCCACTTTGACCTCAAATATCTCCTCTTTGGTTAAGAATTCCGAATTAAAATTTGTACAGCTATTTACTCATGTATTTGTGCTTCGATGACCGTCATTCATTTGTTTTTTTCTTCTGTTTTTTTCTGTTTGCGTCACTCATTTTACAAAATGGAAAACTTAAAGTATCGCATTATTTACGAGTACGAGTTCCGCCGTGGCACTAGTGCTGCGGAAACGACTCGAAGGGTGAATGATGTGTATGGCGGTCATGTTGCAAAAGAAAACACAGTTAGTTTTTGGTTCCAACGTTTTCGTTCTGGAAATTTCGACCTGCAGAACAAGCCCCGTGGACAGCCTGAGACCCAAGTTGATAATGAAGTATTGAAGGCTATTGTGGAAGCGGATCCATCGCAAACCACGTCCGAGTTAGCTGGAGGCTGCGGTGTTAGTGATAAAACTGTTTTAATTCACTTGAAGCAAATTGGGAAGATTAAAAAGCTTGAAAGATGGGTACCTCACGAATTGACTGAAGCAAACCGGTAAACGCGCGTCGACTGCTGCGTTACATTACTGAACCGGCACAATAATGAAGGTATTTTAAACCGAATCATTACCTGTGATGAAAAATGGATTCTTTACGATAATCGGAAGCGCTCAGCGCAATGGTTGGATCCTGGCCAGCCAGCCAAATCCTGCCCCAAGCGAAAATTAACCCCAAAAAAGTTACTTGTAAGCGTTTGGTGGACTAGTGCCGGTATTGTTCATTGCAGTTTTCTCAAATCTGGCCAGACTATTACGGCTGATGTCTATTGTCAGCAATTGCAAACCATGATGGAAAAGCTAGCGGCTAAACAACCTAGGCTGGTCAATCGCTCCACGCCACTGCTACTTCACGACAACGCTAGACCACACACTGCACAACAGACGGCTACCAAATTAGAAGAGCTTCAATTGGAATGTTTAAGACATCCTCCGTACTCCCCGGACCTTGCTCCAACAGATTAGCATTTTTTTCGAAATTCGGACAACTTCTTGCAAGGGAAAAAATTTAACTCTGATGGGGCAGTCCAAATCGCCTTCACAGATTTTATTGATTCCCGTCCGACTGGTTTTTTTAGTAAAGGGATCAATGAACTACCTATGAGATGGCAAAAGTGCATAGAAAACAATGGTTCATACTTTGATTAATTAAATATATTATATTTAAAAATATTCGACTTTTTGTTCCTCCCATACAAAACGCCAATTTCATATGTAAGGACCTAATAGATGGCAGTAGCGCCACTGTTTTTCTTACTTCGACGCCTTGTCTTATACGTAACCTCGCAAACGTTTTCCATACAACGACTCTCTTCAATGCCCACATCTTTGGGCATTTTGTAGTTCCTTCAGCCTCATCATATAGAGTTAATATATTTCAGTATCAAAAGCAGCACTTGAGAAGCAGCTGATCAACACAAACAGTACCTGTGTTAAGTTAAATCTGCTAACCTGGGACTGTAACGGCTGTCCACTGATCCATTTCATCATATCCATCCGAGGGTTTGAGGAGTTTTCCTGGAAGTCAGAGAGCGTAGAATTGGAAGCTAATCCAGTGACTTTCTGTACTCTTCGACCAGCTACCTGGTACCATTTAAGGATCGTTGCAACTACCACAGCTGGAGTAACTACAGCAACATATTACTTCGCTACACTTACTGAGGGAGGAGGTACGCACGTTTAATCTCAATAAATAAAAGCAACTTAATCTATAACAAATCGGGTATTCTGATTTATAATAATATTTCTTAATTTTCTCTAGAATTTGCGTTATTAAATAATCTAATGTACGTAAAAAAATCTCTATATTTAAGCATAGGCTGTTTCGTTTTTAATTCTCACTAAAGACGTATTTTTGTGTTTCATATTAAAATTAATCTTCAAAATATTGAATTAATTATATAAGATTACTAGCTGCCCCCGTGAACTTCGTTTCAACTTAATACCTAGCCTTTCTTTTTAGTACATACCAACATGGAACATTTTTCTATGCTACCCCAGACTGTGATTTTTCTCTATATAAACCTCAGATTTCAAGTTATAAGTTCTTAACTAACAAATAAAAAATGGGGGTTGATCGTAGATGAAAATTAAGGGTTGTATGTATTTATTAGATTGTAAGCTTTTTGTATCTTTAGCCTAGTAACACACTGATTTTTTACAATGCTTGAAATTTATTATCAAAACGTACAAGGGTTGAGAACTAAAACGGCAAGCTTTCTCAAATATTTGTCAACTTCTAATTATGGGATCATCGCTCTTACTGAAACTTGGCTGAAATCTGGTATTTCAAACATGGAATTATTTGACAATAGATACACTGTTTATCGTAGAGATCGTTCAAGTTCTACCAATACCAAATCGGATGGTGGAGGTGTCATATTGGGAGTCTCCAAAGAAATTTCTTCTTTCAGAGTTGAGGCATGGGAATCGGATGTGGAGGACTTATGGGTCACCTTACATATAAATATTAATAAAATAATAAAGAAACTTTCGATATGTGTAGTATACCTACCTCCTCCTGTAAAGATTGGGACTTTGACACATTTTTTAGACAGCGTTGACAGAGCTTTAAACTTAAGCGATGACGTCATTATTCTAGGTGATTTCAATCTAGGGTTCATTGATTGGAGATCGTTAAATAATGAAGTTTTTATGACACCTTGTAATTATAACAATACACTTGGCTTTGCCTTGATTGATTTTATGTCTATGAATAGCCTAAAGCAATTTAATAGTATAGGTAATAGCGATGATCGTTTCTTAGATTTAGTATTATGTAATATGTCTAGTATTAATGTATCAGCCCCCTCCGACTCGTTAAGTAAAATATACGCGAATCATCCTAGTTTATTGTTAAGTTTTGAATATTCTAAAATATCCTTTTTGCGAACGAGAGGTAACACTAAACTAAATTTTTATAAAGCTGACTATGTGTCTATAATAGGGGATCTGAAAACTATTGATTGGAATGATAGCCTACGCGCCCATGATGATGTTAATGATATGGTATCTAAGTTCTACAAAATTCTTAACACCACTATAAGCAAATTTGTACCTAATACGACCATCACGAAATCTAAGTATCCGGTGTGGTTCAGTTCTTCCTTAATAAAATTACTTGCTGAAAAAGAAAAAACACGTAAGAGGTATCGAATATACAAGAATCCTCGAGACGAAATAGAGTATCACATTATTAGAAAACGTTGTCACAAACTTTATGATGATTGCTACACTAAATATAAGCGAAATATTGAGGCAAGTATTCCTAATAATCCTAAATGTTTTTGGAGTTTTATTAAAAATAGGAAAGGTGGTCACTCATCGCTTCCCTCTTGCATGAAAATGGACAATGTTACAGCCCAGTCATCACCTGATATTGCTAATCTTTTTTCATATCAATTTTCATCTGTATATACTTGTGATGAATCACTTGTTGGCAGTTCCACTCCAGACGACATTGGCAATGTTGACGGCCTAATGTCCCTTAGCTTTAGAGAGGATGAAATATCTAAGAAAATAAAAGGTCTTGATACTAATAAAGGAGCTGGGCCAGACTCGATTCCTCCTATCTTTGTAAAACGATGTAGATTTGTGTTATCTTTGCCCCTAACTATTATTTATAATAGATCTCTTAAAGATGGTGTTTTTCCTGAAGTATGGAAAAGGTCTCGTGTTGTACCTGTGTATAAAAAGGGAGATATCACCGACGTAAAAAATTACCGTCCTGTTTGTATTTTATCTTGTTTTTCCAAGCTCTTTGAGTCTGTCCTGTATCCCGTAATCTCCAAATGTTTAGACGGCTGTATCGTTGATGAGCAACATGGTTTCAGAAAAGGCCGTTCAATTCAAACGAACCTCATGTCTTTTGTTACTGAAACATGTCAGGAATTAGATCGTGGGCGCCAGATTGATGCCATATATACTGACTTTAGCAATGCCTTTGACAAAGTCAGTCACGCGTTACTGATTCAGAAGCTTCGTGGTTATGGAATGGGAGAGAATTTGCTAAACTGGTTTAGGTCCTATCTTCGTAACAGGCCTCAGTCAGTAGTTGTTGGAGGCGCTGAGTCTACTCCCTATATTGCGCGATCTGGTGTACCGCAAGGATCTCATTTGGGACCGTTGCTATTCTTACTATTTGTAAACGACGTTAAGAATCATATAAAGCACTGTAAATCGTCTCTCTTCGCTGATGATTTAAAAATTTATAAAGTTATTAACACTGTCTGTGATGCTGCTCTAGTGCAAAGTGACCTTAATGGTATACAACATTGGTGCTTTTTAAATGGTATGATCCTCAATATAAATAAGTGCTTTCATATTAAATACACAAGAAAAAAAAAACCACTTGTTACTGTGTATAAGCTTGACGGCGCGCCATTGAAGGAGGTTCAGGAGATTCGTGACTTGGGTGTTATTATTGACAAAAAATTAACGTTTACATCGCAGGTCAATAAAGTAGTCACCACATCCGCACGAATGCTTGGATTTCTTAAACGGAATGCGGATTGTTTTGGTTGTACGACTAAAACAATTTTGTACAACGCTCTGGTGCGCAGTCATGTTGAGTTTGGTAGTATTATATGGAATCCACTATATGCGATCCATTCGCAACGCGTTGAAAGCATACAAAGATCTTTTACGCGACACCTAGCTTTCATAAGCAGAGGATTTTCACATAGACAACCGTACCATCAGCGACTTAAAAAATTTAATATGTTATCTCTTAACAATCGGAGAGCTCTAGCCGGTGTTACATTCTTGTATAAATTGCTCAACAACCATTTACAGAACAGTGACCTTTTACAGGAAATCAAATTTGTCGTCCCTTACTCATTCCCTAGGTTTAAAATTAACAATATATTCCAAATTCCATCTGCCAAAACCAACCTAGGAGTTCAGGCACCTCTCGTTCGAATTCTTCGCGATTTCAACAAACTGAACACAGCGTATCCAGAGCTGGATATATTCGGTAGTGGGCTGATCGGTTTTAGAGAAAGCATTGTGGGGTGCCTTTCTAGAACCTAATTTCTTTTTTTTCTGATGATTTTTCTTTTTTTTCTGCACATAGTTGTTGAAAATTTTATTTTATTTTATGTTTATGTTAAAAATTGATTTTATTTTAATGTGTGCTTGCATTGTCGTGTGTGTTTTAGTTGTGTTTTTTTTTAATTTCTATTTGATTTTTTTTACTGAGAAACTTATGCTTGCATTAACTGTCACACATTTTAGATGTGGGATTTTGTGAAATAGTTGGTGGACTTATGACTGTGTGTGATGTTGTGGGCTTTATAACTAAATAAATAAATAAATAAATAAATGTATGTCATATCATAAAAAAAATCAAAATTTTGTATAAAAATTGAAAAAAAAATTCGGGTGGGACACCCCTTCTCACTTTAGGGTTTGAAAGATAGATTGCCGATAGTAACCGATTCTCAGACTTACTGAATATGCATTAAAAATTTCATAAGAATCGGTCGAGCCGTTTCGGAGGAGTTTGGGAACGAATATGTGACACGAGAATTGTATAGATATAGAGATTTTCTCTCTAAAAGTTTACAATTTGTAAGTACAGCTGAAATAAACTTGTTAGGACCATAACTACGTGTTTGCATTATACTAGAACGCATCCCAGCACCAGCGCAATTTCCATCTGGTGGGGAAGACATTGTGAGCAATGGCGGTGGAGTGGCTTTGTTGGCGGCTGCAGCTGCCTTTGTTACAGCTCTCATGCTACTCGCCGTCGTCGCGTATAAGAGAAGGTAAGTGCTAACAGATGACAGTCTTAAATACGAGTTCATGAATAAGAAAAAATGCAGCTTTCATATTATATATTCTTTCTAAACATAGTATAAAAATCATTTGCTATATATGTTAAAGTAAAACTTATACGAAATCATAAATATGTATATATCAAATATTTACGCTTGGCACAATTAAGAAAAATATAATTATAAAATACTAACTCTGAACTTAATTTCTTCGTCTTAATATTTTTTTTAAATTAGTCTACCTTTTTAGTAGCTACATAGTACATACCAACATATGGAACATTTTGCTATGCTACCACATGCAGACAGTTGGATTTTTCAGAAAAAAAATTAGTACTAAATAATACTGAAGTTTTCTGTCCACAAAAACCTTCCTCAGTGTTCAAGGAACAAATAAAAAATACTCAAATTGGTCCAGCCATTTTCGTGTTTTGCACTTAGCAAGATATTTTGCAATTCATATTATCTATATAGATATTTAAAATAAAATTAATTACAATTTTAGTTTGATACTGTTCATTTATTAGATGTTTTTATCATGCTGTACTTGTACAAAGTACGAAAACTTTGCCTTGTTTTATCTGACTGATAAAGCGTCTATGTTCTTTTCTGTCATATTTTTCAGTAGCCGAGTAAAATGCTTCACCAAGGGCTACGAGCCGAGCAGTGTATCTGAAGATGAGAAGTCAGTAGAGAAAAGAGACAACCGGCGAAACTGTCAACAAGTCTACACGTCATCACCTATAAAAACTAGCAAGAAGGATCAGCAAGGTAAACGAATTTTATATATTAAAATACAATTCTTCAACCTTTACATAAACTATATAATAAAGGACATAACACATCACATTTCTTTTTTCAGAAATGTATGAAATAAGTCCCTATGCAACATTTAGTATGTCAAGCGGCGCCGTTTGCAGTGAAAGCGTAGATACAGCAGGGTCAGTGAAGTCAGTGGGTCCAGTTGGAACAGTGGGGTCAGTGGGGACTGGTGCTAGTGGGACGCTTAGAACGTTTGGCCGAGCTGAGCCCGCGCCCTTAAGTGCTGCACCTCCTCATCGCTCGCATATGCATAGAGATCCTGTAGATTCTGGTGAGTTCAAAAAGGATAAAAAGCTTTTTTATTTTAGATAAATCGATATCGTAGTAAATCTATTCTTTCTGTCACACAACTGTCACATATTTTCAAAGAAATAGATTGTTAGTGTAGAAAAAGTCACTCTATAGCTAACATCACAACGGCAGGTTATAAGTTTTAGGTGGCTTTTAAGTTATATATAATATATAGTATATTATACTAAACTACTAGTACTATAGTTATACTATATATATGCAGACGAGTATACGCTATCACGAGCAATGACGCTGATGGTGCGTCGAGGTGAATCTGACTCAGATTCATCCGGGTCACCCGAACCATGCGCCGAGTGCACGTCTAGCGCTGCCTACCGGATACATTGTGCGGTCCCTAACAAAGGTATTCTTTTTTAAGCAAGCAAGCTTTTTTAATAATTGAATAAATAATATAAAATAAATTTTATTATTATCAGAGGCGCTACAACATTTTTAGGTCTAGGCCTCAGATTTCTGTATCTGTTTCTAGATCATTTGTTAATCTACTAAGCAAGTAGGTGATCAGCCTACTGGGTCTGACGCACGCCGTCGACTTTTTGGGTCTAAGGCAAGAGCAATTTTCCTTCGCCGTTTGAGCGAATGTTAAATGCGCACATAGAAAGAAAGTCCATTGGTGCACAGCCGGGGATCGAACTTACGACCTCAGGGATAAGAGTCGCACGCTTCAGCTGAAGAAAATAGACCGACACTGCTCACTAAAAAATAAATTTAAAGAGATTAAAAATATCTTTCTTTGGATTCAAAACAGATATTATTTGTATAATTTTTCAATTAGAGACTTATTAAATACAACTTTCTAATTTTGGTTATATATTAGAAATATAACATTGATTTCAATCGGACTCAAAAATGTATTAATGAGAATAACATAAGGAACAGTAAAAAGAAACGAAAAAAAAACAAATATACAACAAAAATATGTTACAGAGGAAGTATTTCGTGGTGTGACGGACTCCAGCGCTGAATCATGCACTTCAGGCTCAAGGGACAAGGCTCGAAGGAGACCACGCCGACACACACCCACTTCTGCCAGGTACCAGTAGTAACTTTTGTTTAAATATTGACACCATACGGCAAACGCGGTCTTATTTTGGTTTGCAGTGAATTTGTAAATATTTTATTTCTAATCAGAAAGAATAGCTTATTTCAAATGTTTAGTTCGAGTTGATTTTACGTCCATGGTAAATATTATACACATTAAGAAACAAAGTTTATAAAATTTGTCTTAAACCCGTTAAAATGATATCCTTTTAATGTAAGTTATAACAAAGCAAACAATTGAAGAATTAATAGAGACGATAAAAAATATGAATTGATTAATTGAACCATTTGAAAAAATAATTATTAAATTCTGTAATATTAATTTTTAAATAGTAAAAATTCTAAATCAATTAATGAATGAGGATCAAATTTTATAATAGTTTGGTACTCTTAATCTTTACAATAGTTAGTAAAACACACAATAGATAGCGCTATATCACAACTTAATTAACTTGTGTTAAATGTAAGTATTACGATAGATGTCGTTATTCTCAGTTTAGTTGTTTACGTGTATTTAATCAGATGGCGCTAACGGCAGTTATAATAGCTTCTAAATTTTTGAAAGTTACAACAGATGTCGCTATAATAAAATTTTCAAGATCTTACTTTGGCCGTTTCTGCGCCATCTATTGTATCTGTCAAAAACTAGCATAAACTTGAGTGAATTGTACTCTTGAATAATGTTCATTAGGTACATCAATTAATTAATAAAAAAATTAACACTAGTATCCAAATTCGGCTTTGATTATTGTTTTTATTACAGATACCCTCAACGACAAGAGCAAGAAAGAAGGGATTTTACAATACACGTTTAATTACGACAATAAAGACTGCTACAAGCAATTAGAGTTAAATTAAAATTGTTAGTAGATATATGGACGATTTAATGTTAATTTATAAAGATATTTAATATAATTTTTATAATTGACTCGAATTATTCGCGGCCTATTTGGAAATTATGAAGATGAAAGTGTCATCGATAAAATAAATCAAAATTGTAAATTTTCTAAATATTTTTTTGATACATTGATGTTTGTAATTTAGGAAATCTATGAGATAGTTGTATTATAAATAAAATTTAAAACTGCACAAATGTTTGTTGTGATAGCTCAGAGATGGATTTTGGTATCAAATTTGGTAATAAAATAAAAAAAGGACTATGGAAACAATTTCAAAATAATCATATAAACCACGCGTGGTCCTGGAGCCATTTCTGTATTGTATGTTTAGTTTATAATTAGTAAGAAAAATGTTTCTTAAGAATAAAAATAAAACATTTTTATGCCGAATTCCATCTCTGGGTTTGTAAGGATATTTTGCTCTTTCATTTGTTTGTAGAATATTTTCAATTTCAAAAATACGTAGACAGTTGAGAGAATACGGAAGGTATATTGTAGCCAGATCATAGAATTGATCACTTTCACAAAGAAATTAGGGAACTAAGGGTTCGTGTTTTTTTAATACAGACAAAATATAATGACTTATGTATGATGTTCTATTTAGATCTGGTTGGCATGAAATCGCTACTTCTATGATCACCTTACATATTTTCTTTCCGCCAATTTTCACACTTTCTTGACTGCCAAACGATGTTTTTATAAGACCTATTTTGATGTACTGCAATACTGTATAATATATAATGAGTTTATGTTGGTAAGAATATTTGCTATTATTTTGTGACAAACTATAGTCATGTACTTTTGCTCAATATTCAGTACGTTTAAGACTTTATTTAATTCTGCTAAACATCACTGCCGTACTCTGTAAATATTTCAATATTAAAACAATGAATAAAAATAAATTTATTCGAAGTTTGAGTTTAAATTGTATGTTTAGCATATTTCCTCTGTGACTTACAGGTTATAATCGCGGCTCTTCAATTCTCAACTAACAAAATTGCTTCGGGTTGTAAGCAAAACAGATTGATTATCATGTATATTAAGTTTAAAAAATACAGAATTGTCTACTTTCCATTAGGGTACACATTATTACTATGCATTTTTTCATAACTTTTACTTAAAATTCACCTGATAAAATGGCCAAGGCATCCACATGCCTGCTTGTACTTTACTCCGAACAGAAAACCGATTTTATCATTTAAAAATGAACGCATTAAAAACTTACTCCCTTAATTCGAATTAAACAATAAGAACAAGCAATAGAACATCGTAGCAAACCCGGCAAGATCAAACACAAAGTTGTGTCGGGTACAAAAGTTGACACCGATAGATGAAAAATTATTAAAACCTTCAACCTGCTTCTACTTTAACTAGAATTAGGATACCATTATCAACTTAACAACGTTTCAAATAGCAGACATAAAAGAAAAAGTTGGTTTGGGTAGTTCATTTTGAGTGGCCCTCGCTACCGTGATGAGTGGAGCGGACGAAGACTAATTGGATACTTGCTACGTCCCTATATATACAAACCATTGGCTATATGCTTTTATAAATATTATATTTTCCATTTATATAGGTATAAGAGTAATATAGTACATAGTGTAGGTAGTGTGAAAAAAACCCTTCAGATAGCAAATCATGTTTATACTTTGAAGAATATATTTTACCCTTATAATTAGGAAATCAATGTATGTCTACGTTTTTGGTGAACCTTAAACAGTTATGATCATTGCATAGCTGGAAAAAGAACTTAGTATTGTAGAACTTTATTTAAGAGCCTAATATGCAAGATTCTTCGCTTTTTTTTGCTATACATACCTACTAACTAAACCATAACAACTACTATTTAATGAATAATAAGTAGTTTCTCTGAATGAACATATAAATAATTTAGACGTTCTAAGCGCAGTTCCAGGATCATTACACCGTACGTGAGATATTAAATAATTATAAGTAAGTATCTCAAAATTAATATACTTATTTTCAGTTAATAATATGCAGAAATCTAGCTACTGGGATATAAAACCTTGTTTTCACTTTGCTAAATAAGAAACCTAAATCAAGAATGGTTTATTAACAGACGTTTAAATAATAAATAGATAAGTAAATACATTTAAATAAACAAGTATATATTATATTTAAAAACAATTGCTTTTAATGTTTAAAACAAGAGTAAAATTTTGATTTTAAAATAAGACAAAACATAATTTATTAATGAGTTTCTTAATCAGCAATTGATAATTAGCAAGGCAATTAATCAGAGCTGACCTAGTCTGCCTGTGGGAAATGTTATTGGCAGTTGAGGTCGGAAGGCTCTTCCTTGTACAAGTGACACTTATCTCATCAATCCACTACAACATGTCACGCCGCGTACAACGTTATGTAGCTGCAATTTTAAGTTAAACTTTTTCATATAATTGCAGCGCATTGTGGTTTTAGAACTAAACGGAAGTACTTCGGTATACACACATATATTGTCAACACCGTTGAGCAGAAGAAAATGTTTTTTTTGCGAGCCTCGGTCAGAGTGACGTTGTTGATTAATGGAACAATCCTCTATGGCTTCTCAGTTCGCTGTTTCTTATCGTATGGGTATGCATCATGAACAAAAATAAAAATCTATTAATTGACCTAGCAATAGATTATTATACCATTAAATTATTGTAAAGCCTTTATATACTTGGAACTGAACGAAAGCATAAATCGTTCGAATATTTTACTTGTATCAAAATATGGAAAGAAAAGGGATAACAATCTGACAATACAATTAATACGAGACAGAACTATTGTGTTGCTGATAAGGGTGCTAGTCGTGCGTATGATAGGGTTATACCTATTCGTAACAAATCTCATTATTGCTTCTAATAAGTAATTAAGTCAAATCATTCAATTAGGCCACCTAAAATCGCACCTTTGAACGTCAAATAAAATATAAAGAAGATTCTAGTTGCCCCATCCAAAAGGTAGTTTAGTGTGGAGAAGAATGGGCAAGAAATTCCACACTTACTCTTTGAAAATAGGTTTACAATATTTTGTTTACATTAGTTAAATAATTATACGTGAAGACAATGTACTCTTAGAATAAAACTACTATACTCAAAAAGTTATTATACATGTTCCTCACATATTTACAAATATCGAAACCGTAGAATATTATACATTAAAGAGTAATAAAAAAAATATAAAAAAAAACACAATAAAACAGTGTGTGAGATAAAATACATCTCTAGACTATATTTATAATACCCACGACTGAACAATTTATATATGAAAAAACTTTCTATGAAAACAGTAAAGTACTTATTAATAAAAGTCCTTACGTGGATCCGAACAAAACGTATTGTGTGTGAGGTCGAAAGTTCAAGTTTACCTTATACGGGATAAGTTGTGTGTTATAGCATTTCTCGCTGTTGTTGGTGAGTTTAGGATCATAATAGTGTAAAGTGTTCACCCAATTACACTTCTTAGTTGGTTGTTTAATGAGTTTTTAGGTATGATGTACATTCGTATAGGATAAAGTAAAGAAATAGGATGTAATTAGTTGTGGGTGGCAGCCGGATACAGCTTGAATAATAATCGCATGTGATGGTTTTTATATAATATAAACTAGCTGATCCGGCAAACGTCGTTTTGCCATGTTTATCATTTATAATAAAAAATAGGGGTTGATCGTAGAGGAGTGAAAATTAGGGGTTGTATGTATTTTTTAATGCTGTATCATAAAAAAATTAAAATTAAAAAATTTATCTAAAAATTAAAAAAAAATTAGGGGTGGACTACCCTTAACATTTAGGGGGATGAAAAATAGATGTCCGATTCTCAGTTATACCCAATATGCACACAAAATTTCATGAGAATCGGTCAAGCCGTTTCGGAGAAGTTTAACCACAAACACCGCGACACGAGAATTTTATACGTATATATTAGATTTTAAACTCAACAGAAGCAACTTTAATCTCAACCGTGATTATGGTAGTAATACTATAGGTGTTATTAAGACGGGCTGCACACACGTTTCTTTATCTCTTTTATTGATGATTTTATTTGTAATGTACTAACTGTCATTCACCACGTGCACCAGAGGCTTTAAAGTGTACGGTATTGGTATATAAGTGATTGTGATGGTGATATAAAATGTAGTTATACATAGTGGCCAAAAAGTCGTGGATCAAACGCAGCTAGGGGTAGGTCATCAGCTGCAAAAAATTGTTCTACGGGAGGTCCTTAAGCTCAACCCCTGCAGAGTTGTAATTTATTTTGCATTTTTATAAGAAAATTGACTTTTTTACTAATTCTTAATAAAATTCGAAAAAATCTACATCTTGTATCTTTTTCATAATATCCACTTGATCGGTACTGATGAGTCCTTGCGTAGACATGCTATTTATAGTTGTTTATTGTGTGTATTGAAGATAATATTAAGTTATAAGATATAAAAATGTCTCAAATCATAACTTTTTGTTTACTTCGGACCCCACTGTGAAAAAAAAAATACTCTACCGAAAAGTGACCCTGCATTACAAGTTTTGGTGCTAATAGGGACTTTGAAAAGGTATTAATTAATAATCAAATTGTCTATTATGAAATGCTCTGACTTGTTCATAACGTCGACCACGTGATGTCACCTTTGCGGCTTTTAATACCACACAGATTTTATATAGTCTTGTGCTAATTATTTTATTTTACAGATTTCATATTAGGTTAATGAAACACGAAAAAATACCAAGAATATGAAAGACCATGCGACTATAATACGTGACCTATTTTGCAAAAGGACGTTTAACGGGTTAAGATTATACTTGAGTTGGTTTAATTATTAATACGCACTAAATGCATATTCTTAGCCTGAATTGTTTTGATATCCTTAATTTTATGTAATAAATAGTTATTTGTTAAGGGCCATTTGTAATTATTAA